TGAAAAACATAAGAGTATTATAATTGGTGTAAGATTTTAGAAGAAATGGAATCTGTCATATGAGGGAATTGAAATTTGAGGAAATTTTAATCTGCCACATTGGACTTAGAATCTCACATCTAATTCAGACCTATATGAACTTGACTCCATTGTTTGACCCTTTTCATTGTTGCAACTTTTATTTTATATTTACTTATTTCTCATAATAATACTAAAAAGTTCAATGCTTCCATAGGCTTTAGGCTATGTGCATGGTGCTAATGTTGTGCATGCCTTTGAACCTGTTCATGGACGTTTAAGGTATTAAAACTCGACTCTATCAACATGGCTATAATTATACATATACATATACATATACATATATATTATTAACTCCACTTGTCATGTGTAGTGAAATACAGCATAATGGCTGCAAACTGTTCCACGATATTCCTTCTGGAAAAAATTCTGGTTTTAAGGTGAGTTTAATATTAAATAAACTAAAATAGAAACAATAACTAAAATAATCAGATTGAAACAATGTGTTTTTATATGTATAGGTGGTTCGATATCATTCCCTAGTGATAGATCCAAAGTCACTTCCAAAGGAGCTTATCCCTTTAGCATGGACTTGTTCAACTGATACAATATCTTCTCTGGTTGACCAAAAGTTTGACCAATCAAATTATGTTGAAACTACACCTGATAATAAAGTTCTCATGGGTATCATGCACTCCACAAGGCCTCATTATGGTTTACAGGTCCACCTTCATCTTTATCTTTATTTTTCACAACCAGTCCTTGCATTTATGAGGTAATTCAAATCTCCCCCTTGCAGTTTCATCCCGAGAGCATTGCCACCTGTCATGGGAGTCGGATATTTAAAAATTTCAGAGAAATTACAGAAGACTTTTGGGGATGGAAGGACTCTTGTTCTATTAATGACAGGAAGTTAAAGTATAATGGTAAACTACTATAACATAATAAACCATTTATTTATTTATTTAAAATTATTATTATTATTATTTTTTTTTATCATAATAATTAAGTTGCTTCATGGCTTTTGAGCAGTAAACTTTACTTAGCGTGCATGCAGGTGGGAAATGGAAGTTGGGAGTTTAAAGACAATCCCAGAAGAAATTATCTGTCTTTTCTTGATACAAACCCTTTTGATATATACGAAAGGGCAAATTCGTCAAATTTGAGAAATGATGTCAAGTTTTTGAAGTTAGAATGGAGGAAAATTGAGAATTTGTGTTCGCAAATCGGTGGTGCAAAAAACATATTTCTTGAATTGTTTGGAGATGAAAATGCTGAAAATACATTTTGGCTTGATAGCTCCTCTACAGAAAAGGTCATATCTTTTACTTTATAAACTATAATATTAATTCCTTGTGTTGAAAATTTTGAGTAAATTTGCAGTTCTTGATTTTTTTGTCTGTGTAAAAGACATAAATACCCTTATCATCCATCCCTGTCATTGAATATATGCATGTTATACAGAGAAGAGCAAGATTTTCATTTATGGGTGGAAAAGGTGGCTCTTTATGGAAACAGATAACATTCAGATTATCAGATACAAGGTTTGAATGAACATCACATCACTTTGATTTGCTAAAAATTAGTTAGAATTAGAAATCCCAATATGCTGTTAGCTTTTCCTTTATAAATCTTGGATCAAACGCAAAAATCAGCAATGTTCATTCATGATATTAGCACAACATTCTACTTCAAATTTTTATTTATTTATTTATTTATTATAGTAGTGAAAATGAAAATTGTCTTGTGTTTGGGTGATATTGTTATCTTCTTCAAGTGGAGGTCATGTTACAATTGAAAATGCTCAAGGATTATCCACCACAACATTTTTGGAAGAAGGTTGCTTCCATTTCATGAATAAGGTAAACATTTATTCAATTCTTAATAACATTTTAATATTTTCTGACATGTTTATTTATCAGGAACTTCAATCTATTCATTATGATGAAAAAGATCTCCAAGGATTACCATTTGAATTTTACGGTGGATACGTAGGCTATCTCGGGTATATAACTTACTACAATTCAAAGTTTATTTCGATTTTTAATAATATAAAAATCTTTTTATTTATTTATTTACAGATATGGCCTTAAAGTAGAATGTGGTGCACCATATAACCAACACAAGGCGAAAACACCAGATGCGTGTTTCTTCTTTGTAGACAATCTTATAGCAATAGATCATTCCAATGATGATATCTACATTCTAAATTTACACGATCAAACCACAAAAACAAAAACAAAAACAAAAACAAAAACATGGGTCGATGATGTTTATCAAAAGCTTATAACCTTAAAACCATCTTCTACCACTCTTCCCAAAGTCCAATACCGTAATAACAACAAAAAAACCGAAAGTACGTTTCTTTCAGATAAAAATGAAGAGCAGTATATAAAAGATGTGGAAAAATGTCAGGAGTTTATAAAAGATGGTGAAAGCTATGAGCTGTGTTTAACAACTCAAATGAGAAAGAAATTAGGAGATTTGAATCGTTTAGGGATTTACTTACATCTTAGAGAGAAGAATCCTGCTCCTTATGCTGCATGGCTTAATTTTTCAAAGGAAGATTTAACTATTTGTTGTTCTTCCCCTGAGAGATTCTTGAGGTTAGATAGAGATGGTGTTCTTGAAGCTAAACCTATTAAGGGTACTATCGCACGTGGGTCCACACCTCACGAAGATCACATGCTTAAATCACAACTACAACACAGGTCAGTTTTTTTGCTTTTTATATCTGAGGAATGGAATGGAATCTATATCATTTCATTCCATTCCTGATCTGTGTTGTAGTTGTGATTTCATGCATAAATCACAACTACAACACAAGTCATTTTTTCCTTTTATGTCTAAGGAATGGAATGGAATGGAATGTGTGTCATTCCATTCCATTCCGTACACTTGAAATGAATTTTAATTTAAAATTCATTCGATAGTGAAAAAGACCAAGCGGAAAATCTAATGATAGTCGATCTGCTAAGAAACGACCTGGGTCGCGTATGCGACCCAGGTTCAGTCCACGTCCCGCGGCTCATGGACGTGGAATCATACGCGACCGTGCACACCATGGTGAGCACGGTGCAAGGCAAGAAACGATCAAACCTAACCGCGATCGATTGCGTTCGAGCCGCATTCCCTGGTGGTTCAATGACCGGTGCACCCAAATTAAGGTCAATGGAACTTCTTGACTCTTTGGAAAGTTGCTCAAGAGGCATATACTCGGGGTGTATTGGCTTCTTTTCATATAACCAAACTTTTGATCTCAATATTGTCATACGAACCGTGGTTATCCACCAAGGTGAAGCTTCGGTTGGTGCTGGTGGGGCCATTGTGTCTCTTTCGAGTCCCCAAGAAGAGTATAAGGAAATGGTTTTGAAATCAAGAGCTCCAGTTAACTCCGTGCTCAAATATGAACAAAATTCCTTGGAACAATAGGGACATTGTGATTTACCTGATTTATTTCCCAATGTTGGCTATGAGACCGGTTGGTGGGGCACCCAGTATGGTTGGTGGGGTGCCCAGTATGGTCAACACATATTTTTTTTTACTCTAGAACCAACAAAATTACTTGGATGTTGAAAAATATGATTATAGTGAAATTTGTTTTTTTGTGGTAGGTTATATTTCATATTGTGAGTGAAGGTATCTATCACATGTATGCTAATGTTGTGTAATTTGTGGCTCTTGTTTGGCAACCTCAGTGGATCATTTTCTTTATGATTTGATAGCCACTCAAAGTCCAAGTTCATTATTGTTTGAACAGTTTGTGTTTGGCCAAATTGGGTCTTTGAATGTGTGGCTGTGACCAAGATCTAGTATTACTATTAACATGATGTTTGTGTAAATTTCTATTTTTGCATGTAGTCTCGATCTTTGTGGTGTCATGTTCTAAGACTAACCTTTTTTAATTTTTATAGGTGTTTGAGATTGAGTTTGGAAAACAAAAAACGTTTTTTTGGTAAAGTGTTTATTAGTGTATATGGTAGCAAAAGAGTTTTAAAAATAAAATGTTTGGATTAGTTATACCGTGAAAAAGCACAATTTTTTTAGAATGTTTGGCAAAAGAAATTTATATATCTAAAATGACAAAACAAGACATTTACATATTTTGGCGTACTTGATCTATTTACATATAACAGTTTGTCTTTATTCATTTATAATAATCTATTTGATGTCTAAATCAATATTCTTATAAAGTAGATTGTTTCTTCTAATTTTGCAATAAGACAAAAAAATATAAGGTTTTCACTGAGTTGACCATATGTTTTGGTGTCATTTATTATGGTTTTTTCCAAAGATAGAGAATATCAAAAGGTGTAAACTGATGAGGGTGAGGGTGACACGTGTTTGAGAGAAGACTACATGAAAAATCGTTTGATGGCTTAAGGTTTGTCGGACAAAAGACAGTCCACCAGTCTGAATTACTCAATCAAAGATTGTCCGGTGGTTGCATATGATTCGGGTACAAGAACATCTAATCGTCACTGAACGTCGATGAGAATCATGTGTAAGATCGTCTATTGGTCGTTGACTTCTTGGAACAATATCGTTCATTGCCCTGATGGTACCAAATCGTCAATTAATCGATGGCTTCTCAGATCGAGAACATCCAATTATATGATGCTTCTTGGTACTAAATCATCCAATGATCCGAAGAGTGTCTAATGGTCGTGTTGGATGTATATGGTTCAAGTTTGGTAATTTTTACACTTTAGATACCTCAGACATATTTTCTCACTTTTTCTCCATTTTTCCAAGTGTGATAATATGAAAAAACTTGATAATATATGTTAGTCATTTTTAAAGGCTTTTCATCTCATTTTAGTGATGATCATTTACATAACTAATTTTTCAACAATGTGTTTAATGTTTAAAAAAAATATCTAGGCTTTTTCTATTCTCTTATCCCAAGCCCGTGTTCATGTTCAGAACACAAATCGTATATAATAGATAGTAGATAGTAGGGAGCGTGATTCAACTTAAACATGATGTGCAATGATTGTGGAATGACGACAATATCAAGTCAGGTATGGCGCCCAGATCCACCATCACAGAGCCACGGTACCTACAATCATGACTTCCACCATACCTATCACCTATGTTTCTACCGCCACCTTCATGCTAATCACCTTTGTATCAGTCACCATGATATCCACCAACTCCTTCATGGAGACACCCACCACTACCACTCTATAGCATTTGGCATATCATCCGGTGTTAAGGTGCACAGACCAATGACCGTTTATCTCATCAATAGAGTCTCTCAATGATTGTTACGAAACCAAATCCCCAAGATTTGCTGGTTCACGATTTGCATTAATCAAGAAAGGAGAGGTAATCGTCGGATATGGAGAAGGGGAGGGATGGAAAGAGAGGGGGTTTACATGTGAAGGTAGTTAGTTAGGTTCTAAATTATAATATAATAAAATGATTAGAATAGAAATATAATAAAATGATAAATAATAAATTAAATAAAAAAGACATTTCATAAGCATTTAACCCTTATATTTACAAAGTCATCCAAAAGGACTAACAAGGACTAACCATGTTTAATTTGAAAAAGGGAGACATGCATTACAACGTTATCATGACATTGCTATTTTTTGGAAACCAAAGATACTACTCATGAAAATTTGTCATTGTTTTATTTAATATTAAAGAAAAAATAAATACGTTATTAATTTAAACCGTGAGGATAGAAATGACAAAAAAAAGACCTACACAAGTCTCAACTATAACTAATTAAATAAACAAATGAGTTATTAACAAATAGAAATATATTTTTGAATAATCCAAATCTCTAATGTTATAAAGTATTCAGATTTTTGAATAATCCAAATCTCTAATGTTATAAATTATCATCTAAATCCACACTAAAAATCAAAATGATTAAATCTTTAAATGGAAAATTTGGATTTTATGATTGTATCACTAGTTTTGTACTCATAACTTTGTTGTTGATTTGATGCTACAACTTCATGGTTAGAACTGTACATCGTTTGACTCCATCCATGGGTTAAACTTTAGACAAAAGAGTCCACATCATGAGCCACTTTTTGTAGCTTTTCATCTACCGATTCGCTCACGCGCTCCACATCGCGTGTCATCTTCCCACTCAAAATCTCTTGATTTCTTCTTTGAATACTCACTTCGGTAACTAGCAAACACCAATTCATTCATTCATTCACTCACCCATCTCTTTCACTTCCCCTTTCCCAATCATTTTTTCATTTTTTTTTTTTTTTTTTTAAATTTATACTCCATTTTCCCTAGTTTCCTTCTATGGCATCAAATAGGGTTTTCTGATTTTCAGCATATATTAATCCTCCTTCCTTTCTCTTGAAGCCCTCTTTTTAGGGTTTCATCTACAGCCACTGAACAAGAAGGTGGGCTTGTTCAAGGTTCAAGGTAGGTGAGAATCGAAAAAAAAAAAGTGGAAATTTAATCTGATTTTGTCACTATCTACCTGCTATTATTGAACAAGGATCGGTGGTTCGTGTTGTGAAATCGTCTTTTAGCTTAATCCAGCATGACCCACTACTAATTATCTTCTGAAACTGTTGAATCTGAAGCCAAAATTTTCGACGTTTTGGATTTTAGCTTCTGGGTATGAATCTTTCATCGTAAAAAATATGATTTGGGGTTTTGTTTTCCGTGAAGAAAAACTGTAGAGATCTCTTCACTTCAATGGTGGCAAATGTTAAACTTTCTTCGATGAGATATCAAATCTATAAAGAAGATGGGTTTATCGGATATCAACAATCGATGCCTTCTCCACCTTCATCTTCATCGTCGTTTTCACCTCCATTTACTGTAACTTTCCATAAAACATCATCCCCTTCATCTTCTCCAAAAATCAGCCCAGCTGTTCTATTCATTATCGTGATTTTGGCCGTTTTGTTTTTCATCTCCGGTTTGCTTCACTTGCTCGTTAGATTCTTAACAAAACACAACTCTCAATCGCACTCAAATCAATCAAATCGATTCCCAGATGGGTCTCCATCCGACACACTTCAACGACAACTCCAACAGCTTTTCCATTTACATGATTCCGGTTTAGATCAAACATTCATCGACGCTCTTCCTGTTTTTATGTACAAAGAAGTAGTCGGAGCTCACGAGCCCTTCGATTGCGCCGTTTGTTTATGCGAGTTTTCTGAAAACGATAAATTGCGATTACTCCCAACGTGTAGCCATGCTTTTCATATCAGTTGTATAGATACATGGCTTCTATCGAATTCGACATGTCCCCTTTGCAGAAACACTCTTTTCGATCCTGAATTCTCCATGGATAATCCAATTTTCGATTTCGATGATCCACGGGAAGCAGATGAGATTAGGGTTTCATCAAAAACAATTGATCCCGAACAAACGCCGATTGAAAAGGGGGTTTTTTCTGTCAGACTTGGAAAGTTCAGAAAATTGACTGAAAGTGAAGGCGAAGCAGGAGGTGAGACTAGTAGTAGTAATTTAGATGCTCGAAGATGTTATTCAATGGGTTCTTATGAGTATGTTGTTAGGGACACGAATCTTAGGGTTCCATTGAATCATCATCAAAAAGATCTCCAGAATTTGAAATTTGTGAAAGGGGTAGAAGAACGAATCGCGGATCATAGAATGGATGAAGATATTGAGGGGAAAAAGATTAATATTGGGGCAAAAACGGATAGTTTTTCGGTTTCAAAGATTTGGTTATGGTCTAAGAAAAGAAAATTTGCGACTTCTTCAGAGAATCATCATATGCATAATTTGTCTGCAGTTGATATGGAATTACCACGAATTGGGAGAATTCAAGGTACATGAAAAAAAAACAAAAAACAAAAATGTGTTGTTTTTCATCTTTTTTATGTCTACTTTTTCTTGAATGATTAGTAGTTAATTAGTCATGTGTTCTTGCTACAATTGGTGATGATATCTTATATTATGATATGCAAGATTTATAATGATGCTTGATATGTATTTCATATTTGGGTGCATTATTTTCAAATTGGATGTAAAAAGAAAACGTATTTTGAGTGGGATTTTTTTGCAATGTATATTTAAAAACGACGTTGTTGTTTAATAGTTGTTGATTGAGTTAGATCTGATTGAATCAAGCAGAAATGTCTGCTTGAGAGACATTGAATCAGACTCAGCCTCCTATCATCAAAACCCAATAAGAGGAATATCAAAAGATTCTAATTATGGTATCAAATAAGTCTAAAGTTGACCGAGTCAGATCGATTAAATCAAATAAGAGATATGATTACTTGAATACTTCGAGATTTTATTTTTAGATGATGAGAATTTGATATTATTGTAACAACACATGTAGAAGATAATGTTTTGGTATATGTTTGTTGTATAAGTTGCAACAATTACTTTTGATATTGATGAGAGTGTTAAATTCTGATTATTTAAACTTTAAAGATAAAAAGTTACATTGTTATTATTATGTATTTGTTGAAGTAATTTTATTTAGAAGAATGTATTTTATGCTCTAGCAAATTTCTTATAAGTCATCTTATCTTACACTTTGACAATCAGTTTTGTTCCATATGACATAAATTTAACCATAATATGCTTTTACTTTTTGTCCAAACATTACATTATGATTATTTTGATTTTAAGTTGTAATCAATAAATCAAATTTAGAACGCATAATTCTTTTAGAACACTAAGATCATTTATAAGTTCTTCTGTTTGTGAAAACTAGTAAACTAGATTATCATACGTTAAAATACTCTTTTATGTTTTTGTTATATAAAAAGAAATATACATAGCTGAATTACAATTAATACTTTTTTATAATAAAAAAAAAGATAACAGCTTTCTTGTTAATGATTTAAGATGCTTGTCTTTTACTAAATGAGATCATCATACTTGTTGGAATCCTTTGATCGCATAATTTAAGGGCAAAAAGGTCAAAAACTTGCTTTTGCTTTTGCAAAACCCATCTTTTACTTTCATCATGGCTTATTGGCTTTGGTGCCTTGGTGGTTTTACCAACTTCTATTCCCTCCTTTTATTTTCCCGCGAAAACATATGAATAGTAAAGGTGCATAGTAAGAAATTATGGCTTGTAACAAATAGCAAAGTATTTTATCTTCTTTTTTTTTTTACCGATATGAAGAATACACTTTAGTTATTAGTTATAATACTAATGTGTTTATAATTGGGATGTTAACTAAACTAACCATTAGTACATTTGTTAACAAATTAACTAAGTTTATGAGGTTTTGGAAAAATTATCATTTTGTTGCAATTGGTCATCTCAGACTAACTTTATTTCATATTAAATTTTTTTAATGAAAAAATACATTGTAGAGAATTCCAAATTACATTTAGAATTTCAAAAACAAGGTTGAAATCCAATAAACGGTTTCGGAATTTCGAGAAAATATATTTTTTTTTTACTCAAATCTAACAAAAAAAAACATGTCTATTGAGTGATAGATACGATAAAAAGAGTAAAAATTGTAATATTTTATTGAAAAACGATGACATTAAACATTTCAAAATAACTATTTTTGATATGAATAGAGAGAACTTTTTGAAATTTTTTGTGCAAATAAAAAGCATACACTTTATATATTTATATGAGTTTGAAATTATTTATTCTAGATAGAATGGTCATAATCACAAAACATAAAAACTTGATCATGTTTGTTACCAACCTCATTCCCGATTGTTAGTTAATTTAATGTTAATTTATAGTTTTTTACTAGTTCAGGTAATTAACCCGATATTACCTATAAAAAAAGAGTTGAAGATCTCATCAATACATATTCTTCAAATTAAAGACATTTGAGAACGGATATCATATGAGAGAGTTATGATTTTTATACGGACTTTAGCAGTTTAAGCCTAGCCAAATATAATTTTAAAAATAAAGTGAGAATTAGCCGATAAAGTCTAAATGAAAGTTGTACATCTTGTCGATAGTTTTGCGTGGATATAATGAACATCGAAAACGGAGCTCGTATGAATAAAATATGAATTTTTGAAAATCTGTTAAATCGCACGTGCAGGCGCGAGTGCAGACAAGGCGTACGACAGCCTCTGACACATCACCTAGAACCCGCCACATATCACCTTCTGCAGAGCCACGTTACCATAGTCGACCAAGTGCGCGACGCACACCGACCATACATGCTACGCGCCCTCGAAACTTCCCTATATATGTGCGATTTTCAGCTCATTCTTCATACCATTTCCACTAAAATCCTCTGGAAACTCTTTCTACCCCTAATACCTATACTCCTTAGTTCCCTACTACTTTATCGGGGCCTTGGATCGACTGAGAGATAAAATTTTCGGTTTCAAAATTTTATCTGTGATCTTCTTGGTTTTCGCTAGAAACTCTCTGTAAGTTAAGCTACGTTTTATGTGTAACTTATTTTTATATTCATATTCGTTTTATGGATATATAAATAAGATTTATCAGTAACTTCAGTTATAATGTTGATTGATCTAGGAGAGGTGTCTATAAGGGTTATGTTGGCTTTGTTGTTGGATTTCAGAAATGCTATATGCCGAAATAATCCTGTCTCCTAACTATCCGACCTGGATGGCCTTATTTGATAGAACACTCAACATTCATTGGGATTAGTGAAAGATCTAACTTTCATTATCAAATTGATCATAAGAATTAGTAAGTTATAGTATTATAGGTTAATACTCGTTAGGCGCGTTACCAACTAGATTGGATCGCTAGTAGAATCGCCCCGATAGTTGTCAATCGTCTAAGTAAAATATCCATGTGAGTTTTCTCACTATATTATGTGCTCCAATATGTATCATTTGTATGTTAGGATATAGTTGCCTTGTAGTATGCAATTATGTTAGTTTTGTTAGTTGCGTGTATTATTGGATTATTGCATGTTGTATTGTTTATACGTGTTGATATATTATGTGGAAAGTTGAGGGCGGCCCAGCCTCAGGCTAAAGGAAAATATACTCGGGTGGACTAGCATTATGCTAAAGGCCAAAGTAGCGGACCCGCTTTATGTTGAAGGAAAATGGGCGGACCAGCTTCGTGATGAAGGCCAATGGCGGACCAGCTTTATGCTGAAGGTCATTATATGTATAAATTGTATATGTTGTAGTATATGATATTTTGGGAAACTCACTAAGCTTCTTGCTTACCCGGTTGTTTACAAATGTCTTTAAAGAGCTTCATTTGTTTTAGTCGATACTTTGTGTTTTCTGTAAATAAAACTTAATCTAAGACTTTTTTATAAACTTGATAAGATATTATGATTTTACTGAAGATTTCCCTACCATAATCTCAATATGTCTTTACTTGTTTAATTTTTTTTTCCTAATATAATCATATGCCATTAACAAATGAAATTACATTATATGATAAAACTATGCATGCCATGTATCACATAATATCTAAATATTGTGTATTGCATTTAAGAAGTTATACGAATCATAAGTTTACTTATTGTGATGTTTTCCGTAAATTTGTTAATATAAATATTTCGAGAATTGACGTGGCCTTGAAGTATGTAAAACTTTGAAGAGGGAAATTTATGAAATAATATAGGTAAAAAAATATATAACTTGTAATTATTAAAAGATAAACTTTGGAAAATGAGTATTGCGGTTCTATAAAAATACGTTTTCATAAATAATATAAAAGTATAAAACTGATGTTAAAGTTTGAAAAACCTTTTAATGAATTTGATATTTAAAATGCTCTTATGTTGACTTTTAGCTTATTTATTGCGACTCAAAAGTCATTATTTTCTCCATTTTTAGGCAAACTCATCATCTTTTGTTATTTTTAGGAAAGTGACATACACTTAACCATTACCATCACCATCAAAACTCATTACATGCAAACCAAAAATTGTTGCCATTCATTTCCATGGTTGGTTTCTTTTGACATAATTTGGTTAGAAATAATAAATGGAATTGAGGATCGTAGTTGTAATTTTATCAGAAACTAGTTAGATATTTACAAAAATATATAAGAAAATTAATATATAAACATTTCGTGAAGAACGGTTATTTTTTACAAAACTGTAAATATATTTAAAAAACAACAATGTTTTTGTGGTCCAATAAAAATGGTTAAGTGAAAGGTAGTAAACGATGTTTGATTTGATTCTAACTGGACCCAAATATTTAATCAATATGTTTGTTTTCCCTTAATAAAATCTTTGATTAGTCCCAAAATACCTCTTGATTAAATATACGTAGCCTCCATAACTTTTTCCTCTTTCCTCCGTCGAGGCCAACTATGCTTTCCTATGTCGCCTTCCTCAGGTGCGAACCTAATTAACTGTTTAAAGTCTTGATAAAAATAAGATCTTCTTCAAGCTTTCTTTCTACCGATTGGTTGTTTATGTGTTGCAAAGTTCTTGCCGATCTTTGTTATGCTTTGATTTGTTTAAATTCATATGCCCTTTACATTGTTTATTTAAACTTTCTTCCTATTACTATTGATTGAGGTTCATTTTTTCTGATTAGCTGTGTATGAGTTGTGATCACCGCTAATTGGTTGTTTAGATGAGTTACAACCTAGCATCGTATATAATGGGTTAAATTTTTTAAACATATAACAACCCTTAAGTGTTTGTGTTAACAATTTGGATAACACTTTATTTGTATTTTTATGATAATTTGTATTTGTGTAACATTCCAACTGTCAGGTATCATTATTATTCCTTCTAAATTTCAAGTTTTAAGGTTTACTCGACGAGTTGGCGCTATGACTCGTCGAGTAGAAGCGGGGCAGGACACGTCATTTAGTGAGAAACTCGATGAGTCGGCAAGGGGGACTCGACGAGTAGGAGCTGGCAGTGGAAACCCTAAATTTCAGGGTTTTTGCATCCTATATATTGGACCATTAGCGCCTCCCACTATCCCCTATCACCCCTTGAGAGCTAGATGTGACATCCCCAAAATCACGGCCAGAAAAGACCGATTTTGTTTATGCTTTATAAAAATCAGAGTACTTCATTTTATAAAAAGGTTGCGGAATTTGTTCCCAGAAAAACACGATAAATACGTTATTAAAACATTTTCGAAGAAACGTATTTTTATTTATTTTAAAACGTTTGGGATGTCATCGTTAATACAGAAACATAAGCATAAACAGAACTTACAATTATTTACACTA